TTTAAACAGTAATGATTTCCTGGATTTCCTGCAGATACTCAGTGATGCTTCCATTTATGTGCTGAAGCTCTGAAAAAAACAAGGAGTGAGAACTTCACATCTGTTCACACTGGGTGAATCTCATTTTGACCCTGCATGATAGCATTTTATTCTCTTTGTAAAACGTCACTGCACTTGATCCATATATGTGACCTGTCCAGTCAGAACATATTTTATCAATTACAGTTATTGTTGTTATTAGACTTTAAATTAAAGCAAATATCAGCATTCCTTAAACACCAGCTTGTTGTTTGTTTGCTCTGAAAGGACAATTTGTTCAATTATTGGTTGTGTGATGAATTGACCTTTTAGGGATTTTTTTCCTTTTCCAGTTTTCAAAAACGGCCTCCTGTCTTAAATAAATATAGTCATTACATGTTATAACTCAACCACAAGAACAAGAGCATCAGAAAGTCAGAGCAAAAAATATGTGTTTGTAATGTCTTATGTGCACTGAGGTAAAGAAAAGAGTGAATCATGTGTAACATAGTTAATATTGTATAGAATTCCACTTGTCATTACTTCCAAGTTTGGATTCATGTGTAAAGGGTGACACATGAACTAACACACGTCGTTCAACCAGAAAGCTATTTGTAATCCATAAGGGGGCCCAGAATATGTTAGGAAACCACTGGGGGGCCCAGGAGAAAAAGTTTGGGAACCACTGCTTTAGGTCAACCCTGTCAGTATTCACTGGGCTCCTGTTTCTTTTCATCACATATCCATTCTCTGCTCTTCAAAACGTTTGCACATCAAGGACCTCTCCCAGTGCACCGGAGAAAAACGGAGCAAATCCAAACGTGATTCTTCAATCAACTGTAAAGCAAGAACAGTAGAATCTTTTTCAGCACCGTGTTTTCATCTCATTCTCTGGCTACCAGACAGTTTTCAGTACACCAGGAATAATGAGAGTAACAGCTTGTTTTGAGAGCAAGCTCAAAACAAGCTTACAAAGTAGGAATGTTTTGCTCAGATAGAGGTGCATTGTGCAAAAGGCAGTGAACATTGTGGGTGTATACAAAGTATAGTTATGCAACATTTTATTTATTTTTTGTAAACTTCTAATAATAATACTTACAAAAAATGTAATCCAAATGAAAAATTAGAACAAATATTACAAGCCTGACAGCTTGTATGCAGATCTTTACAGAAGCAGAGTCTGCAGTCTCCATCTTTGGTTGAAGTGATGAAGGCTACGCCGATAAAATCAAGTCTCAGTAATGCTCCTAATACTCCTCTTCTGATATTCCCCTGGAGTCCTTCATGGTGCTTCATTCTCTGCCATTTCATTTGCTTTAAGGTTCTCATGTTCACGATAAGAAATCGTTTAAATCTGTTAGACAGCCTCTTCTCTCTGGCCCTACCTGATGGCCACGAAATCTCTCCTTCACGTCAGCCCAAGGTTTTAGGTCCGGTAGCAAGTGGTAGTTGTAAAATGCAAACCCTGGTTGTCATAGCCACTCACCATAACCGCTGTCAAACAGAAGTACCAGGAAACACTTCATGAGATAGGATCAAGTCACAACGTTTTCTTAACGTGTTGTACAAGACAAACAGATACAGAGATAAATGTAGTCAATTCAAACCAATCATATAGACTCAAACAGACTCCAAGTGATTAAAAAATGCAGTTATGTTCAGCTTATGTCAAAATAGTTTCTGTCTTAAGTCACTGACTCTACATCTGTTTTCTGCTATGATGTAGCATCAGACAGTCGTCTAGAATTACCAAAGGTCTCGTCCTAAACATTGGATTGGTGCCACTGGCAAAATATCTTGATCCTCAGTTTATGCTCTTCCTAGCATTAAACACTGACATAAATTCCTATGAAAAGCTCTCTCTCTAACTTACTGGACTTTTTAAAAAGTTTAGAAAAATAGTTTTAGTCCAATTCCTAGCAGCCAATGATCAATGATGAACTTTAGAAGACCTTTAAAAACCAGAAATATTGCTCAAAAGCCCCTAAAAATACTTGTATGTTTAAGTTGCAGCATAATTATTCTTGTTTATTTCATGTAAACTTAATCAAATCACACCGTGTTGTAGAGTATGGATTTATAAAATATGGTTAATTTATTGCAAGCAATAAACTGTGGTCATAACGATTTCCTGATTCCTGCAATAATGAACAGATCATTTCTGGACTCCTCTGAGATTTCTAAACTACTTCTGTTGTTATTTAGATTGCTCAACACCAATATTCCTCCCACTAAGACTGTCTGAAAATGCTGGTTTATTTATATTTAGCAATATATTTCTATTTGTACATTTATTCTAGATTTGTTTTTCTTACCTTTACCAGCAACACTCTTATATCTACAGCTCTGGAAAAAATGAACAGACCCACTGCACTGAACCCCACTGAAAACCTCCTGGTTATTCCACCAAATACTGATTCCTGAATTCTTCCTGAGTTCAAACATTAACATTGTTGTTTCTAAATGAATATGAACTTGTTTTCTTTGCATTATTTGAGGTCTGAAGGCACTGCGCTTTTTTGGTTATTTTGACCATTTCTCATTTTCTGCAAATAAATACTAAATTTTTGCTTGGAATTTCAAAGACATGTTGTCAGTAGTTCATAGAATAAAAGAACAAAGTTCATTTTACTCAAACATTTACCTACAAAGAGTAAAATCAGAGGAACTGATCATTTTGAGTGGTCTCTTAATTTTTTCCAGAGTTGTGTATGTATATGTAGTCACACTTATAGTTTCTCAGTATTTTTTCTGCGTACTCCGGTAACCAAGCGACATTTTGTTGCCAAATTCACAGTCATATCTTTGTGCAATTTCAATACAGTAAATCTAATTCTAACTTTACAAACTGGAGTGCATGAGGAATGCTGAATATTTTAGAGGTTATTAAATCTCTGTGACTTTATTAAAAGATGTTGTCTTCTGCAACAGGTTCCACTGGTTCTGTTGTTGCACTGGGGAGCAGATTTACAACGAACAAAGAATCCAGTAAGAACTCGCTGGTCCACCTGTCACTGCTATATTTCTGTTCAGACAGAGGGGGGGAAACATATACTTCAAGCAGTATAGATATTTTCTTTAAATAAACCATAAAATATGAGCATAAAATAATATAAAATGCTTCCATTTTGAAGTTTTTTTAAATTATTATTTTCATTCAGAGGAAAAAAAAAGAGGATAATTTAAATTTTAAAGCTGATTATCTTCCTAATCACATCTACAAAAACAACAGAAGCAAGATATTAAATGATCTCTCTGGAGATCATTTTCTATATTTTAACATTTTACAAACTTGTACATGCGCCCGGTTTAAACAAACACTCAACATCTATTGAAGCAGTGTGTGTGTGTATCGCCCAGCGGCTCAGTTATGTAACGTGGGTTTGATGTAAACATGGTCAGAAAGATACGTGTCAGTCCCCGTATCTTTGCGCCTCACCTTCACAGATCATTTACTCCTACACGTCTCAAACAGAAAGTCGTGTGAAAAGTTTTGGCCTTTTCATCCTCCCTGAATGAGACTTCAGCTGTCAAACAGGACAAGGTGAGGCTTCTTCAGCCTCGATGAAAATAATTCACCCAGGATGTTGTTGTCGGGTTTTGGGGTTGTTTGAGTTTGGTTGTGGATATTTGTAACTTTTGGAGTTACTTAGTTTTTTTTTTATATTCAGTTCTACTTTCTCCTCCACTTCTGCTCTTTCTTAGTGATTCTTGTTATTTTTTTTCTTGTTGTTTTCTGTTCTTCTAGTTGATCATGTTTCTTTACTCTAAGTTATTCCTTAATGTTAGAATTATTTTCTGTTCCCGTGTTTTTCCTCTGTCTCTCCTGTGTCACTTTCTCTTTCCCTCCTCCTCAGCAACTCACACCTGCAATCAGTGTGAGTCTATCTGCGATAGACCTGAGCTGATGAGCTCATCAGCTCAGGTCTATTGTTCCCACCATCAACCTCCCAGTATTTTAGCTCCTCATTCTCAGTCAGAACTTGTCTGTTTGTCATGTCAGCTCTCCTCTTCTACTCTCTCATCTCTGCTCCCTGGTTCTCTCGTGTTCTCCTCATGTCTCCAGTTTGGATAAATTTATTTCCTTGGACTGTTGTATTTTTGTAAGTGGCATCTTTATTTTTTTCATCAAATCTTCAACTCTAACAACGTCTCCTGCCTGCTGCAATTGGATCCACTTTAATACCCGGCAAGGCAGATTTACCCAGTTATTGCTTTTTGCAACTCAATCATGATCAAAATAATTTAGCTTTTGTCGACAAAAATGAAAAATACAAAAAAGAAATTGTTTAAGTAAAAACTTATTTCTACAAAATAACGATAACTGAAAAAATATATATATCTAGCATTAAATAAGTGAGTGATGATCCCTGTCCCCCTTTAAAATGACTGACCTAATTCAACAGAGGTCCAGCCAAGTGGTGCCAGTAGTTTCACAAATGGAGATTGCCTGCATGCAGTAAGTGTGTCTCTGGTGTAAAAACACCTTCATCTGTTTCTGTGTCACATTTGGTTCCTTTATTGAAAAGCTAAAGAGAGAGCAATCAGTCTGAAAATGTCTTACAAGTAAAAATAAATGTGCAACTTGACACATTACATATTCCTATTTTTAATAAGAATTCTAAGTAGAATATATATCTACAATAAAAAATAAATGTTATTATCCTTGGAATAATTACTGACGGTGCTGCTTTAATAAGATCGTATCATATTCCATGATTATCAAATCTAAGGTCACTGTGGTACAGTTTAAACTGATGGATGTTATTACAATACAACAAAGATTAAAAGTTTCCCAATATAAAGACCTCAGTTTCAATCTCATTGGTATTTCTTCTGCAGCTCTTCAGCACGTCTGACTTTTCTTCGAACATGAATGCCTCTTAGAGACAAACAACCTGGTCTTTAGCAAAAAATCAAGGCTTTATTTGTTCTTTTTGAAGGCATAGTTGACTGGAGTGCCTGTCACGGTTCAGGGTTTGGTGAGGTGAGATGAGACGCAGGCAGCCAGGATGAAGGTGAAAATGATGAATTTAATGATTCAGAGTCCACAGGAAAACAGACTTAGACTAGGGTGGAACACGACGGCACAGGGAAACAGTTACAAATGACGAGGATCTGACAACGAACACAGACAACAGGTGGGGCTAAATACACACAGGGTAATCAGGGGGATACGACACACCTGGGGAGCAATCAACAGGGAGGACAGAGACTCAGGGAACAGGACTACACAGGACTGAACACAGGACTACACAGGACTG